TCCAATAGACAGGTCATAACCTGTTAGCTATTTCTCTAAATACTCATGGACACTTCCAAATGGAGGAGTTCCATTTTCCGTTCCTGGGGATTTCACTTTAGCAGTCCCCCATCCTCCTGTTCCAATCTGGTAGCTCTTCAGGTTTGGTATACAGTTGTCACCTTGATACTTTACTATTTTGTGTTGGATTTTCTGTCCCTGGGATATCACATTTTTGGGTCTCCTGAGTTACTCGTTTTATCAAATCTCATGCTCTACAATGCATAGGAGGAAACACTTTTGAGTTTTTTCAAACCTGAAAAAAATTTTTATTATACTGTAGTTTTGGGGGGGCTGGTGAATTGGCTTAGTATGGGATTCTAGGCAGAAAATTTCCCTTGTGATTTTGAAGGTCTGGTCTACTGTCTTCTAGAATGCTATGAAGTCCCCTGTCATTTTGATTTGTGTTCCTTTATTGTGACCCAGTTTTCTTTATGAATGTTTTTGAGAATTCCTCTTTCATGTTTTTGTATTTCATGATAGTCCTCTGAATTGCCCAAACATACTGACTTAGAACAAGAAATATTTTGTTTGTCGGTGATTGCTCAGGGGGTTGTTGAGAGACAATTCTTGGGTCTCAGTTACTGCTTGTCTTGCATGCAGAGGCACTGACAGCTTTTGTTCTTGATTGTCTTTTCCAGGATGTTTATATAGCAAACAGCCTTGGAAGGTAGAGATAATGGCTTGCTCCCTAGCAGAGAGCAGGTTTCTTTACTGTCTAGCACAGGTAAAGACAGTGTCTCTGTCCTGCCCTTGGGTCCCACTGAACAGGTTCACCTGCAGCCCATTATAAAAGATGAGGTTCCCTAAATTCAGGGATCCTCAGTTGTGACGCAAACCTGGGCCATGCCCTGACCTCCCCTGGGACAGAGGGGCCAGCGGGAACTGATGGACAGATGAAGCTCAGGCTTCACGCTGTGCTGTCAGCTGAAGAGTCCTTTGTTTCTGACCTAGGAGTCTTAACATCTTCTGCCAGAGTCCACGAAACTGTGGCCAACTAGCCTGTCAGCTTGCAAGTAGGGTAAAATCTCAGAGCCTTTACACTTCTTGACACTGGGCGAGTCTTCTGTTGGTCTTGCTAAGATCGTGTTGCTGTTGTCATTTGGTGGTTCTGCTGAACAGCTGGGTGCTTTTAAGGTGGCCTTACTCCCATGTCTGGCCGTTGATGCTGGGCCTCTCTTTCCATGCGGTCTCATCTCAGAAGAATACCCTTAGCTTCTTTACATAGGTGGCAGCATTCCAAACGTGAGAGTAGAGGCTGTAAAGGCTTCTGACACCTAGAATTACATGGTGTCACTTGTGCTACATTTTGTTGGTCACGATGAATCTTGAAGCCAGTTTGAATTAAAGGAATGGGGACATAAATGCCATTTTTTGGTGGGAAGAGTGGCAAAATTGCCCCACAGAGGAGCGTGTCAGACTAGATGGGAAGAATTATGGTGGCCATCTTTGCGCATTGCCTGAGTCCCCCACCCCCACCGTTCACTGTGCTATGTACTTGGTGAGCCCTTCCATTCTAGAGATGTATTTTTCAGTTTGGGAACATTTAAAAATACTATATCTTTGACAATTTTCTCTTATTTTCTGGTTTCTCTTTCTTGAACTCCTGTTATTAGAAACTGGATCTTGTTGGATTCTCTGAATTTTATTTCATTCTCTGTTGTTTATCTCTTCTGAATCTTTCTGGGAAATTTCCTTCATTTTGCCATTCGTTCTATTGAATTTTTTAAAAAAGATTTTATTTATTTGACACAGAGAAAGAGAGAGAGCACAAGCAGGGGGAGCAGTAGGCAGAGGGAGAGGGAGAAGCAGACTCCCCGCGGAGCAGGGAGCCTGTCCTGGGGCTTGGTCCCAGGACCCTGAGGTCATGACCTGAGCGGAAGTCAGACACTTAACCCACTGAGCCCCCAGGTGCCCCTCTATTGAATTTTTATTTAATTGATTATTTATTTGAGAGAGAGAGAGAGAGCACAAGAGGGGGTAGGGTGAGAGGGAGAAGCAGACTCCCCGCCGAGCAGGGAGCCCGATGGGAGCCGGATGCGGGACTGATCACAGGACTCCGGGATCGTGACCTGAGCCGAAGGCAGTCGCTTAACCAACTGAGCCACCCAGGTGCCCTCTATTGAATTTTTAAATAGCAGCGACCATGTTTTCATTTCTGCAGGTTCAATCCTGTCCTCCATTCCTTCCTTCCTTCCTTCCTTCCTTCCTTCCTTCCTTCCTTCCTTCCTCCCTTCCTCTCTCTTCCTTTCTTTTCTTTTCTTTTTTTTTCTTTTTCTTTCTTTCTTTCTTTCTTTCTTTCTTTCTTTCTTTCTTTCTTTCTTTCTTTTCTTTCTTTCTTTCTTTCTTTCTTTCTTTCTTTCTTTCTTTCTTTCTTTCTTCTTTCTTTCTCCCTCTCTCTTTCTTTTCTTTTCTTTGGAAAAAAAATCTTTTTAAAGTACGTTCCATGCCCAGCATGGAGCACAAGGTGGGGCTTGAACTCACGACCCTGAGATCAAGGCCTGAGCTGAGATCAAGAGTCAGATGCTTAACCGACTAAGCCACCCAGGCGCCCCTCCTCTGTTCCTTTCTTACAGCTTCCTGTTTTCCTCTCATGGATGCAGTATCTTCTTTTATCTTTTACCTTCTTTATCTTTTATCTTTATATTAATGATGTAAAAAAACATTTGTCATCTGGTCCCTTTATTGTCTATTTCTTACATACACCTTTTCTCTCTCCTTTTAAAAAACTATTTTTTTTTTCATCTTGGAGCCTTTCTTTAGTTTTCTAATGATTCTATGCTTTTATTCATATTTAAGAGTGAGGACACACATGCTCAACACTCACACTCACTCACTATGTATCCAGGTGGGGCTTGCTGACTAAGAGTGCCAGCAATCAGCAGGTATTGATGGAAGTTTTCCAGATAACGCTTACCTGTAGGTCTGTCCACCTGGGTGGTTCACATTCTACAGAGAAGAATCTTGTAATCTCTGTGTATTCTGGGAGCAGGGTGGGAGGAAGGGGACTGGCGACCTCGGTGTTAGTGTGATTTTCACATGGCTTCTTGTCATACTCTAGCATTTCACCCTCATTTTTCTTTGGGGCATTATGGACCTGAGTCCTTAGCCTCTTTGGTTCCTGGAGGAGGATTAGTTGTTAGGGTGTGCAGGGTGAGGAGCGCTGTGTATGTCTTACTGCCCCTTCTATGGACTTCACACAGGTCACTTGTTGGTAGCCCAGAGCTTCAGTCTCATCATCTGTGTTAGGTCTAGGTTCTGCCTATTGCTCTCTGGGTTATCCTCCTCAATGGCTTTCTGTTTCCCAAACTTTTATTGCTGTCTCTTTTCTGCAGTTGTCTCCTTTTTGGTCCTTTATTTCCTTGGGATTTTTTCTACCATTTTAATGGAGTTTCAAGAGGGAGCATAGGGATAGATAAATGCCCATGGTCAACCAGGAGCCTCTCTCTCCCTTTTTACAGTTTCTTGGTACAGATCCTATGCTAGTTCTTGTTCTGATTATTATTGTTTTCATTGATGTGGTGAGTTCTTCATAGGCCAATGATTTGTGGTTTAGTGTTGATGAGAGGGAATACTCTTGAGTGTTTTCAGCCTCTGTTTCCTCCCTAGACAATGAAGATTGTCTGCTAGATGGTCCTTTTCAACGTGTGCTTCGCTCACAGGCTTCTTTATAGATAGCATGTCCGAGTTTTTCTTTCCCTCTTTCCCCTATACCTTTCTGTGGTGCCCATCCAGATCCAGAGTAATTCTGTTTTTTCCTCCATGGAAAGATTTTAACTTTTTCACTGAACATTTTCAAACACAATATGAGAGAGAACAGTATGATTAAACCCCACCTACCCATCATTCAGCTTACATCAATAATCAGATTTGCTATTTTTGTCTCACTTCTCCCCTCCACTTTTGGGGAGATGGGTATGGTGGAGTATTTTAGGTAAACCCTCCCCCTTCTTTTTTGAAGGAGGCTCCACACCCAGCATGGAGCCCAACACAGGGCTCGATCTCACAACCCTGAGATCATGACCTAAGCTGAAATCAAGTCGGATGCTCAACCAGCTGAGCCATCCATTCGCCCCAGTGATGGAGTATTTTAAGGTAACCGTTATTTTTATTCAGGAACACATTTTTTTTTCTTAACATATAATGTGTGACTTGTTTCAGGGGTACAGGTCTGTGATTCATCAGTCTTACACAATTCACAGTCATAGCACATACCCTCCCCAATGTCCGTCACCCAGCCACCCCATCCCTCCCACCCCCCTCCACTCCAGCAACCCTCAGGATCCAGGGTAATTCTCGACACCAGCCCCCATGCTCTGTTTTCACATATAAGCAAAAGATTCTTGATTTTGCCTTTTGGGGGTATTCCAGCTCTTCGGTAGAACAGCTCTTTGGATGAATCCTTTTGGCTTCTTCATCTCACTTGATCTTCCTTGTCTGTGGCAGCTTTTCTCATATATTGGGATTCAGAGTTGTAGATGATTGCTCGTGTCCTCAGAGCTGGAGTTTGAGTTTTTCTTTTCCTTGGTTCTAGTGATTTCTGAGAAGAGGGCAGAAAGTGTTTCTTCTGCCGTCTCTTATTGGAAGTGTACTCATTAATTTTATATCAACTTTTATTAGTTTCTGTCTCAAAAAATGAACTTTTTTAAAAAAGATTTTATTAATTTATTTGAGAGAGAGAGACAGCATGAGTGGGATGGAGGGGCAGAGGGAGAGGGAGAAGCAACTCCCGCTGAGCAGGGAGCCCGACGTGGGGCTTGATTCCAGGACCCCGAGATCATGAACTGAAGGCAGATGCTTAACTAACTGAGCCCCCAGGTGTCCCTCAAAAAATGAACTTTTCCTAACCTCAATTCTGAGGCTTTTTTTTTTCCATGTGTAGTCAATATACCTGAAGTTATGACTACATACATGGTACTGAAGCATTTTTCTTGCTTAATTTTTGTTTTATGTTCTTCTAGGGAAGATCCACCAACACATTCTCAACCAGACAGTGATGATGAGGCAGAAGAAATACAGGTTGGTTCAAAAAAAATAATCCATTCTATAGACTATTGTAATTTAAATGATCCCTGAAATGGTTCTGGTACTTACATCTTAGCGTACATTTGGTAAAGTGAGAAATTACATGAAAACCACACTTTGACATGTAGTTTGTGTTCAGAAAGAGATGTCTTTCTCTTTTATGTACAATTTTTAGATAGAGCATTGCTTTTTGGAAGCCCAGTACACTATCCACATTTAATATTTTGTTTCTTTTCCCTTCGGGCAGTGGTCGGATGATGAGAACACGGCTACACTTACGGTAAGAGCAGAGCCATGCCAGTGTGGGGACAGCCTCACACTGCCACATGAGGGGCTTCAGGGTTTCAGTACACATCTCTCTCAGTTCCCTTCCACTCACTGTTTCAAATGTTTCTCTGTTGGCTTTGATCTATTATTTTGAAAAATAACTTGAATCATTGTTTATAGGCAAACATGGCCTGCCCTTTTTTCCCTTTGATTTCAAAGGAAATATTTTAAGTGCATAGTTGGTGCTTTGACTTGTTTCTTTTGAGCTCTGAAAAAAGTAATGAAGTCTAACATTGAACTTTGAGGTTTCCAGATATTTGGAACCTAAAAGTGAAATATGTAGTCACTTATTCAACTGTATTTAAATGGCATAAAAATTACAGTTTCTTTCAAGTGAGAGTAGAGAAGTGTGTGGCTTTAACCAATACCGTATATAAAAATGTAGAAGTTGATTGAGTGTATTATAGTCTTTCAGGATAAGAATGCTGTTGTCTAATTCAACTTGAAATATATTTTTAATAAAAATATTTTTAAAGGAATGAGTGCAGTAAAACATGTGTTTCTAAAAATACCGTAGATAAGAAGAAACTTCTTATACCTTGAGATAGAAAGGTTTTTATACAGTTCCCTCCAAATATACACAAGGCACAAGGGAAACTAGTTTTAGGGAAGGTTATAGTCTAATACAGTTCTAAAGAAGATACTTCTGTTTATTTTAATGGAAGAGACCTGATATAAGAAAAGTAAGTGGAGATGCCTAAACCAATATATTTCCTGTATAAAAAGCATGCCAACATATACAGAAAGGGCAGGTTTCCATGGTTTATTTTACTCTGGATATCGTGCAAGTCAGTCACTCTTGTTTCTGAAAATCCTGTTCAGTTAAACATGCATCTTAGTTATCTCCTATATTCAGGGCACTATAGTGGGTTCTGAACAAAGATGAATTTGGTTTGATTCCTGCCATTAGGGAGTTTATAAACCAGGGAAGATGTCTCAGTTTGGGAGTAGATGACAAAGTGCTATCAGAACAGAGAACAGTTAGAACTGAGGTCATCTAGAAATGGGTAAAGGGACACATGATATTTGCCCTGGACCCTAAAAGTGGTGAGGATTATCAGTGTCAACTCATGCTTTCTAATAGATGGCTAGATAGGGAAATTAGTAATTTATGTGTGTTTATCTACCATACTCCATTCACTAAGGACTGGGAGCAGTGATATGGTGACATCATGGTAGCAGTGAGCATACCCAGTGCCCTGATCTTGGTTTCTAGATACCTTCTCAACTAAAAGGAATTGAAACTCCTTGGAGAAAGTCAGCGCTGGGGGTAGGAAAGTGAAGATGAACTTGTGACAGCTTGTGTCAGAAAGTAAGAATGAGGTAGACATGACAGAAAGGACACAGAGGCCAGCTCAGATGGGTTCCCACTGGCCAAATAGCTGAGTGTCAAAACAGGGATATTGGTGGAGTATAGCCATTTGCTAAGATCAGTGGTCTGTGATCCCATACTGACAAATAAATGGCTATATTCAATAAATGGGAGCAGAAAGGAAAGCCCTTTATAGTAGAAAAGGCACCAGCTCACAAATGTAGAAAGAATTACAGAATTGGAAATCACCATTTGGCAACCATCACAGTAATAATTGATGGAATAGATGTTAAAACTTGTGGGTGAGTATTTGATGAGAAAGAGGATGCTTGAATATTCTCAAGGTATTTCCACCAAAATTACTTATTTATAAAGACGAAAATAATAAGTTTACAGTGTAAGGACCTGGTAGCCAAGTGATCAAAGTTAACCTTGCCAGTGATGGGACACACCTACATCGTGTACCTCCTGATACCTCCTGATGATGCACTAAGAAGGACACATCACCTGCCAAACAGGCATAACCTAAATCTAATGATGAGGAAACCTCCAGCAAATGCAATTTTTTGGAAATTACATAGAATAACTGCCAGTACTCTTCAAAAATGTCAAGGTCATGAAAGATAAAGGACAGCAGAAGGAAGGACTGGTACAGATTAGAGATTGCACAGACGTAACAGCTGAATGCAGTGGTGCGGTTCTGGACTGGAGCCTCAGTCAGAAAGGTTTTTCTTCTGCTATAAAAGACATTGGGAAAATGGGTACATTTTGAATAAGATCTGTAAATGAGATAATGGTATTCTATCAGTGTTAGCTCCCTGACTTTGATAATTTTGCTAGGTTCTGTAAAAGAATGTTAATGCTCTTTTAGGAAACATACTGAAGTATTTGGGGGTAAAAGGGCATCATGACTTCTACCTACTTTAAGAATGTAAGAAAAAATTGTTTTATATGTGCATATATATAAATAAATGCACACATCTGCATAGATCTGTAAGAGAGAGAGTTTGGGGATGGGGAGGGATAAAACAAACGTGATAAACGCCTGGCTGAGGAGTATATGGAAATTCTTATTACTCTTCTTTTAATGCTTCTTAAAGTCTGAAATTATTTCAAAATAAAAAGTTACTAAAGTGATTTGGGTTTCGCTGGGTGGAACTAGATGTTGAGCAGGGGAACATTCATGGCAGGAGACAGTAAGGAATGTGGGCCAAGGCCCAACGAGGGAAATATAAGCTTTGATGAGTGGTAATAGTCCATTGATCTAGATACAGAAACACGGAATTAAAAATGGGAAAACTCAGTTGAGGGGGGTAAATCTCAAAAGTGAGAGCAGTTTGCTAAAAGTATACATATCAGTGACAGCAGTTATGTTACATTTTTAAAATGCTATAATTAATGGACAGGCATGTATTATTACTAAGTACAAATCATGATTCTGGAAGAATACGCCCAAGTCTGTAATGCTGGTTGCCTGTGGGGAGGGGAAGGATTAGGATTAGGGAAGAGAGTAAGGAGGTAAGAAGCTTCATTTATATTGTAACCTTGTTCCCTTAAGAAATTTAAAAGTCAGGCGCCTGGGTGGTTCAGTTGGTTAAGCGACTGCCTTCGGCTCAGGTCATGATCCTGGAGTCCCGGGGTCGAGTCCCGCATCAGGCTCCCTGCTCAGCGAGGAGCCTGCTTCTCCCTCTGACCCTCTCCCCTCTCATGTACTCTCTCTCTCATTCTCGCTCTCTCAAATAAATAAATCTTTAAAAAAAAAAAATTTAAAAGTCTGGGTTAAGTATACCAAATTGTTGAATGTATGGATCCAGGAACACAGGTGTATATTTTTTTTGTATATTTTAAATATTTCATAATAAAAAAAATGGGTATGGTAGGTGTAGTTGGAAAGACAGGAGGGTTTGGATCACAAAGTCCCCAGATATGATAAAAAATGTAGATTTTATCAGTCACAACAGGAACCTTTTCCTGGAAAACTGAGGTATATTGCATATTTGAATCAACTCCTTGAGCTATGAGCTTAAAAGAATTCTATTAGTTAAATCTGTTGAAAGGTAATTTTCAGAAAAAAGCTAGAATCATGACTCGATATTGATATAAAACTCTAACACATGTTGAAGGTTTTATTTAACTCATGGGGGATCTAGGCAGATGTTTTAACTGGTTCCAAAGAGAATCCAAAGGACAGACACATTTGTAGATTAGAAGTATTGAAATGAATACATAAATGAGGCAGAATTGGTTTTGCCTCCCTCAAGGGTATGTGTGTCGGGGGAAGACAACTGGCTCTCTGTCAGGCAGGATAGAATTTTTATGTCCGTAGAAATACTTTTCATTGTTATCACTTAACCTACAGTTTGCCAAGTTATAAAACAGCTCATAGACCTAGCTAGAATCAGATAATCCAGAGGGTATGCTGTAGGTAGATAATACATAGTCTTCCACAGAAGCACACATTTTTCTCCACAATACATAAACTTTTTATAATTTAAATTTGTTTTAGGATCCTTATAGCAGGATTTCCTGAAGTTGAATAATTTGAGGATTTGAGGTAATCTGTCACTTCTCAAAATATAATACATAAATACAAAGCAGTGTGAAATTTTATGGGTTGGGAAAATTAAATTGTTTTCTTTGAAGAATGAATCCGTTCATGTTGTAAAATTTGTATGACTACACCATTCATCGAAAATATTGCTAATGCAGATTTTAGTTAAGTGTCTTTATGCATAGAACCCTAGCTGAGCCACATCAGTAACTTCAGTGGATCATAAGGAAATTATTGGCTTAACATAGATCATAATTCCTTCTCATGGGGAGAGGCAAATGGTTGATAAAGGACTCAGGCTGTTACTCATTTTAAAAGCCTCTCAGAATGGCTCCTGTTTGATTTCCTGTGTCTAAGCTGACAGTGTCACATGGAAGATGGACACGGTGGCAGATACTAAAGATGCTGCCAACCTGTCTAGAGATCATAGACATCTGTAGCGGAAAGGAAGGGGGTCCAGTCCAGTCTGCTGTGATCTCTGCCTCCTTTACTCACTAGCTTACTCCTTAAAGCTGGTTTCTAGTTTGGGGGATAGGTCACCTTTTGTTTTAAACTGACGTTTTTTGGTCTGTTTCCCAGACTTTTTTTTTTTTTTTTAAGATTTTTTAATTTACTTGACAGAGGGAGAGAGAGAGAACACACAAGCAGGGGGAACAGCAGAGAGAGAGAGAAGCAGGCTTTCCATTGAGCAGGGAGCCCGATGCGGGGCTCCATCCCAGGACTCTGAGATCGTGACCTGAGCTGAAGGCAGACACTCAACTGACTGAGCCACCGAGGCGCTCCTGTTTCCCAGACTCTTAACAGAGTTTGTTTTTTTTTTTAAAGGGGAAAGGCCTTTTTTTTTTTTTTAAGATTTTATTTATTTATTTGACAGACACAGCGAGAGAGGGAACACAAGCAGGGGGAGTGGGAGAGGGAGAGGCAGGCTTACCGCAGAGCAGGGAGCCCGATGCGGGGCTCGATCCCAGGACTCTGGGATCATGACCTGAGCCGAAGGCAGATGTTTAACGACTAAGCCACCCAGGTGCCCCTCTTAACACAGTTTTCTTTCCATTGTAACTGGATTAGATTAAGGGGGTCAACAGAAGCCATTTGATATATTTTTGCAGTGTGTAGTTTGGCTCATTCTAGACCTAGTCTAACTTTTTTGCCCCTATGGAAGAACTTGTCATTACTGGACTTTTTCAAAATTTGCAGTTGCCAGTAGGGGGCGGCAGATATAAAGGGATAACGTGACTGTAGCAAACCTGTTAATATTTTTGTATTCTGTCCCTTGCAGGCTACACTTCCGATTCTCTTAGTCCTCTTTTCTCTGCTAATGTTCATGTGCTCCTTAGCTAGGGACATAAGACTCACAGAAGAGTGCAGAAGAGTGTTTCTTCACACTATTTCTCTTTACTTCCTGGTTGAAATGACACTCAGGACGTTTTGGTTACTTGCATATATAAACTGTGCATTTTAAAATCAATCAAAAAGGAAAGAACATTTTAACTGCAGCACCATCCTGTTTTTGAGTTTTGTTTATATTAAAACTTGTCTGGAAATAGCAGTGTTTAAATACAGTTAAGCACATCATTTATTTCTCATTCTCCTGAAGGCTTTTGGGGATATGTCCAAGAATCTTTTCTAGATGGAAAGGCTTCTGACCCTTTAAATGTGAGGTGATATTTCGGAGCGTTGGAGTATGGGTATAGGAGACATTCCGTCTGTCTTTTCACTTAATAACTGTTGGTTCTTTAGATGTGCAGAGAACCATTCAGTCCTTCCTCACATCCCCAGATGCCTCGTGACATCTGTCTTTTAAGCTTCCTGGGTTTTGATTGTTTTTGGAAAGTACCGTTTGGGCACTTGTTATTTTTTTCCCTTTCTGGCAAATATTTGATCATTGATTTTATTTAGCTCAGTTCAGAAATTGTGATAGTAATTTGTATTCTGACTTATTTTTAACATGCTTAATTGTTTAACCTTGAGATTTTGATCTTGTTTTCTGTATTTATTGTGACGTTATCAACCTGTCTAAATGATTTCTCCTTTCTCTCTGTAGGCACCGGAATTTCCCGAGTTCACCACGAAAGTCCAAGAAGCTATCAATTCCCTGGGGGGCAGTGTATTTCCTAAGCTTAACTGGAGTGCCCCAAGGGTAGGAACACATCAGTAAATCTCTCACTGTTTGAATATCCTTTGTTTTGCTATTCATTTCTTTTTATATGCCCACAGAGGACCTAGAATTTTATTCCTAATTCTAGGGAAAACACTGTGGCATTTATTTTTATTTTCCCCCTCCTACTTTCCTGATTTTGCAGTTTCCTGAGTCTATAAAATACTATATATTTTGCTAAAAGACAGTTGTAACCTCTTGTGTTGCTGATCGTGCTAGAATCAGAGGAAGGCCATTCTCTGCCCCTTTCAAAACTTCAGCTGTTCAGTGTAACAGAGAAATTTTTCTCTATTGAAAAATAACGAAAATTAAAATGTCACAGGACCTAGACATAGAGCCATTCGGGAAATCAGCTGACATTTTCTCAAATTGTGTTTTATCATTATGACATTGCATTGACAAGATTTTTTTTTACGTCAAGGTCTATGGAAAAATTCGCTCTTTTTTCTAATCCAGTAGAAAACCACTGTGGCAGCAAAGTTCACTTAAAGAATCAAAGACTTACTTGCATTTTCAAAAGCATCCCATGTGCCTTTCTTCTCTTATTCTAAAATGGGTGACAAGTAGTACCTAATCTGTCCTTCATTTTTACTGATTAAAATTAGTTCCACATTTACATCATTTACATTTTTAAAAGAGCTGGACTCTTGCTCCCCAAACCAGCAGGTCCTGACACGTCCTTGGCTTCCCCATTTCTCACTCCCCAGAGGCAGCTGCTGTCCCTAGTTCATTCTTTCGTTATTTTCCGCTACCGCTCCGTCCTTCAGCTGTCCGTATTCATTATTGCTGCCCCGTCCGGACCGAGAAGATTCTGCCCTCTCGCCTCCCTTCCCGCTGCTTTATATTTCACTCCCATTCGAGCACTGTCCTGTTTCGCTTAGGTCAGGATGCAGTGTTTCTGCTGCTCTGGCAACGCAGACGCTCTGTGCACATCGGGTGGATACCGTACAGGATGACTTAGTGTTCTTGTTCACCCTTTTGCTTTCCCTGGAGTTCATGGTTTTCTATGCATCTGCTGTTGTTTCAGTGGAATTAAATCTCTGGCCAGTATGCCATTCTCAACCAGAAGTTCATCATCTTTTTCACTGGGAGAAATTGTAAAAGTTATTATAAAGAAGTTATTAAAACTCATTTTTAGTTTGTATATGAGCAGTAATTTGAATCATTTCTTACTGCTGAGCTGGGCTGGGGCTTTCCACTTACGAATGGTAGATTATTTGTGGTTTGAAGTTATTCATTTGTTCATTTATATTTTATTTTTGTGTGCCTGCCATGTGCCACGGCTGTCTTTCATGTGTGGATAATTAGGTAGTTTTTTGCAATCATTTGTTTTCTCAAAATTAGATTACTGTCCTGTGTCTGATCTGTGGAAGAAGTATGTTTAATAAATGACTTAATTATTCTGTCAATTTTAGGTGTGTTTTGCTAAGCTTTGTGCCTGGTGTGCCTGCTCTTCTTACCTGTTTTTGGTTCATAGGTAGGAGACATTCACCACTGAAAGCTGCAGTGGTTTAGAATCTCTCATCTCCTCTCTCCCTGATTTGGTAGACATGGGTCTGAACTGCTCCGGTCCTCACACTACAGGCGTCCCGGCTGTCACTACCCAGGAGCAAGAAGAGAGAAAGGATCTCCTTTTTCTTAGAGAGTAGCTGGTCAGGCTCTTTCTTTGCATCTTGACCTTTTAGCTGAAGTGTCAGCACTTCTGATACGGTCTTCACCCCTCTTTCATCATCAGTAAGACAAACACGGGGAAGTGCTTGGGCCTGAGTGGGAAGGTGAGGGCCTTAACAGCTCAGTGTTCATAACCCCACATGCAACATGCAGTGGCCCTGCTCTCGGTCGTTCAGAAGTGTGATTTGACATTGAACGGTATAGCTAAAATGTCTCACCTGAACTTTTTCTTTGAAAGTAGCGTGCATTATCAGTTTTGTATGTAGGCCTGAGCCTCATTCATAGCAACCGACTTGAAATATATGCTAAATTGCGTGTGCTTTATTATTATTATTTAGGATGCATACTGGATAGCAATGAACAGTTCTCTGAAATGTAAAACCCTCAGCGACATCTTTCTGTTGTTCAAGAGTTCTGATTTCATCACTCATGACTTCACTCAGCCGTAAGTATGTCTCTTGATCTCCCATGTCAGTAGTTTCTGTACTTAGGAGAGTTTTGCTGAAGGTGAAATCCCATTACTTCTAGTACCGTTAAAAACAACAGTTCCGGGGCACCTGGGTGGCTCAGTCAGCTAAGCGTCTGACTTCAGCTCACGTCCTGTGATTGAGCCCCATGTCCGGCTCCCTGCTCAGCAGGGAGTCTGCTTCTCCCTCTCCCTCTGCCCCTCCACCCGACATGTGCTCTCTCTCTCTCAAATAAATAAGTAAATAAAATCTTAAAAAAAAAAAAACCAACAACACAGCAGCAGTTCCATATAACAAGACCTATTAAAGCAAACCTTTCTTTTCCTTTGATAGTAAATGAATATTTGTAAATATCAAGGGCTTTCTTTGTATCTGCCTATTAATTTGGTAATTTTTTTCTCATGTAAAATCAATATATGCTTATCATAGAAAAACAAAATTAAGAATTTGAGCTAAACAAAAACAGGAAATGTAGAAGCACCCGTGATCTCACTATAGTTGGTTTTATGTAGTTCCAGAATTCTTTCTGTGCATACGTATAATATAAATACACCTGTCTCTAACCATATTGTGATATTTTAAGACAGAAATGGGGTCCTGTAGTTCATATTCCTTAGTAGTCTGCAGTATATAGCTAATATCTTTATGTGTATTAAATATGCATTAAATACTTATATGCATCATTGTTTAAAATTACTTTAATGGTATTCCACTGGATAGCTACACCATGATTTGTTTGATCAATCTTCTATTTTTATATAGTCCTACAGTGAATATCCCTGAGCTAAATTTTTGTGCATGTTCCTAATTTTTTTCTCAGCATACATTTCAGGAAGGGGAATTGCTGTTTTCCTTTCTTTGCCAGTTACTCTAGCTAAAGAACTCATAGGCAGGTAACCTACTTGTACTCTTGACCTGCCGGTGAGCTCTTTATGCTCTCTTGTTCTGTCGTTAAATAGGTATTCTTCTAGATTTCCCATCTTACCCATCATAAACAAACCAGTTATCACACTTAAACTAATACTTAAACTGATCTCTAAAGTAAAGCATAACACAAAATCCAGCAACTAAGCAGGTGAATAGGGGTGCAAATACTGTGTACACATACCACTTCTTCCCCATCCGTCCATGGCGTCTGCCCTGCCCGTTCACCCCATTTCAGCTTCAGATCCTTTTTGGAAGAGAAGCCTGGCACAAAAAAATAAATTCACTGCATGTCAGTTGTACACCTAGTCTTTTGCCTCTGAGTTGTGTAGCGTGGCCATTGTTTTTAGTATTATAAGAATGAAAGGAATGAAGTTCGGTGATAATAAATGAGTCTGGTTAAATTGTAAGTTTATTATAAAAGGGGTTTACCAGTATTGATATTTCTGGTTCATTTACAGAGAAAAGCTTTATATTGTTTGGGTATTTCATTGTCCTCCACCTTTTGTGGTCACGTTGGCACAGATGTTACTAGGTGTTTGGCAGCCCCTGTTGTTGTAAAAATGCTGTGGCATTTCCGTTCTAGGAGAGGCCCTCTGATTCGAGGAAGTAGTCGCTGTCTTCTTTGTCCATTATAAAGCTTTTAAATACCTAATGCTTTAAGTAAAGAGGTCTTAAAATACATTACATTAAAAAAGCTCTGTACCTGTTATTTCATCAGATAGGGGTTTCCATGTACCTTTAACACTAGGTGCAGTGAGAGTACGAGGACATCTTTTCCTTTCCAAAAATTACTCTAAGTCGCTTTTAATTCTCTGTGGCCGATGTTTTTTTAAATCATCTTTGTGGCTTGGTGGACTGCTGCTGCTCCCCAGCCCCCCTCTCCCTCTACGTGGTGTGTGAATCTAACGCAAGTCCGGTAGAAGGTCAAAATAGCAGTCAGCTATTTGGCCTTCTGTGCTCTTTGACTTTTGCATGGGAGAGAAGTTAAGTCAGCAAGTGAATTTGAGGCCTGGGATTAAGAGTGTTTACTCACAGAATACCATGCTTCTCCTAGTCTAAATAATTGGGAGTTGGCAGGAACGAACCCCAAGTACCAAGCTTGCGGCCTTTCAGCTAACCAGTCACCCCCTTCTGGAAGTAGTTGTCGGTAGGAGGCTGCAGAACTGTAAGTCTTGTCACCGTAAAAATCTGTATTGATGGGATCTTTGGCGAAAGATGAACTTTTGTCGCATAGGCCTTTAAGGACCCCTGAAAGATTAAATTCGGAATGTAATTCTTTAAATTAGACAGGATTGTGTCAGTAATTTAATCTCTTTCCTTCTATAGGCTAGAAAATTGAGGCCTAAATCTGCTTGGTTGTTTGTTCCCACAAACTAGTTAGTAGAACCAAAACCAGACTATAATTTCGGTAATGCCATTCTAAATGGTTTCTGTATTTTCACTTAGTAGTGTCATAAATTCCTCCTTTTAAAAATGCTTAAAATTAAAATACAGAATATCATAAAGAATTTAATTTTGTAAGAATTTATTATATAATAAAAATAGTATAAATAAAAACAGTAAGTATAAATGTAGAATGTAAAAAGACATGGAGTTATATAATTATCTGTGATATGTATAAGATTATATAATATTATAAAAGTGACATTATATTGTTTATACTATTTTGGGGCTTACCTCAAAAAAAGAAAGATATTCCAGTCAGGATTGCAAGATAACAGAAGGCCAACTAAAAGTATTTTACACAGGGGCGCCTGGGTGGCTCAGTTGTTAAGCGTCTGCCTTCGGCTCAGGTCATGATCCCAGGGTCCTGGGATTGAGCGCCGCATCGGGCTCCCTGCTCTCCCTCTCCCACCCCCCCTGCTTGTGTTCCCTCTCTCTCTGTGTCTCTCTGTCAAATACATAAAAAAAAACTTTAAAAAAAAAAAAAAAAACATTTTACACGTACAGAGTTTTAAAAAGTATATTACTTAACAAGCACTCTAGAGCATGGGTATTTCTGGGGTTAATTGAGTTGCTCCTCAAGGTCTCCACGGAGCCAGGCTCTTCCAGTTTTTCCCCTATGCTCATGCTTGGCTTATTGATGTGGTATTTGGGATTATCGCCCACTGGCTTCAAGATTGGTGCTACAGTTCTGGGCATCACGTGAAGCCATGACCGTATCTGAATGAAAAATAGAAGCGGTGGTGTGTTTCCTCTCACTCCTCTCTGTATGTGAGCAAGTAAAGCATTCTGGAAGCTTCCCAGGAGACTTCTGTAGGCTCATTGGTCATACAGAGACCCAGCCTAATCCAGCAGTTGGCAGAGGGAACAGAATTGCAATGACTGGTTTAGACCAGGGCTGTCAGACGTTAGCATGCATCAGGATCATCTAAAGAGTTTGATGAAACACAGATTGCTGGTCCCCTCCCCAAAGTTCTGGTTCAGTAAGCTGGGAGTGGGGCCCAAGAATATAATTTCGAAGAAGTTCCCAGGTATCCTGATGATGCTTGTGCAGGCCCACGCCTTGAGGACTGCTTAGATTAAGCAACACACGCATCCCTGGGATTCCGGAGGGGACTGCAGAATACAAGTGCTACCTGATCCAGCAGTCACAACTGTTAGCAAGGATGAAGGTTGGGAATAGCTGGAGGGAGACAAGCTGTACTCTGTCACAGTTGTAAGCTGATACAGAGTATTAAGTACTCTTATTTTTCCTGTTCCTCAACTGGTTATTGTACATAGGAAGCTTTAAAAAGTGGAAGTTGCAATATGACACATTTAACACAGTCTGTCTGCACTAGATTCACTGAGCAAACTATGCCCAGATAGAAACATTTTATGTGGTTAGACTTGTTGAGTCTCAAGGCTGCTTTCAGTAATTATTTTATTGATTAAGTGTCACTTCAGTCAGTCAAGGCAAGAAAATAGTATCTAGTATTCAATTGGCACTTGGAAGATAGGGCTGAGCGAGTGAAAAAATTAATCCATTAAGTGTTTCTCTGAGGGATTTGTCACCCACAAGATAGATTTGATTAGAGGTCAGGAAATTTCACTTGTCTTAGTAATTTAACTCAGCTATGCTTGACGTAATTTGTATGCATTCTTAAGATTATCACAAAACTGGTTATTAATCCTAAAATTCAGCAAGTAGTCTCAGGAGTGAAATTTTGTGTGTAAGTTGGACCTGGTAGAATCTTTACCTTGTGATTAATGAGATGACACTTTCTCTGCTGTAGATTGTTTTAATTTTAGATAGCATATTTTATCTCTTTTTGAAGAAGAATTCTATGAAAATTCAGATAAACGTACCCAATGATCCTTAGTTCAGTATCGTTTTACTTTTATCTTTGTTTTTCCACCACCAGTGAAATCTGGAATGGAATCTGCACCAGTACCTTAACCTGGTTCTCTTGGTTCCTCATGAACAATAGTCTACACCACCAGAACTTTGACGCTTAAGGTTCCATGGTTCTGCATTTGGCTTTTCTTGCCCATAATTTACACTTTTTCTTATACTTAGTAAGTGTTTACAGTGAGGTATAATGTAACCTTCCAACTTTTAAAAAAAGCTTACCAATCAGACTTGTGCCCTAGTAAATACCTAGGGTGGTATGCCACTTTAAAACATTAATTATTGTGTTTACAGCCACTTCAGAAAGCTTTCATGAAGATGTTTTCTCACTACGTATAAAAATGGTGAAATTGTAATCTCAGCCAATGGACTTAGGTAATATCTAAGTTGCCTAGAGTAAATTCACGTAGGTATTATTCTCAGAGTATGCCAATAGTGTGATTCTCCTTCCCCCACTCCTGCCATGTGACTGGCCCAAATTAGAGGCCCAGCTCACATCCTGTGAGTAGGTAATTGTAAATCTGTACATCCAGTGCCAGAATCTCACCCCTTAGCCCCAACACATAGGATTCATCTTCAACTTAAAAGTTTTCCACTAGCAGGGCACCTGGGTGGCTCAGGCGTTAAGCGTCTACCTTCGGCTCAGGTCATGATCCTGGGGTCCTGGGATCGAGTCCCGCATTGGGCTCCCTGCTCCGCGGGAAGCCTGCTTCTCCC